GAGGAAGAAGGGAAGCTGCGTGGTGAGGACTGACCTGATGCGTCAGCTGTTGCTGCTGCTGCTGCTGCTGCTGCTGTTGCTGCTGCTGCTGCGCGATGATAGATGTATCTGAGAAGCTGTAATACAAAGGCCGTACATGACCCACATCGACGTGCTGCAGCAGCACCAGCAGCAGCAGCAGCAACAGCAACAGCAACGATAGTAGCAGCAGCAGCAGAACAGAGAGACAAGCAGAACCATATGTCTAGTGTTGCTACTACTGCTTCTTGTGCTTTTGCTGCGGCTGCTGTTGCTGCTGCTGCTTCTGCTGCAGCAGCAGCAGCAACAGCTGTTGCTGCTGCTGCTGCTGCTGCTGCTGCTGCTGCTGCTTACTTGTGCGGGGGCGCAGAGAGCGAAGGAGGGGGAGAGGCGGGTGGCTGTGCTGCTGTTGACCTGCAGCAGCAGCAGCAGCGATCCAGCAGCAACCTGCAGCAGCAACAGCAGCAGAAAAAGAAGATATATAAAATAAATAAACAGAAATATAAATAAAAAAGAAAAGATAAAGACAGAGACAAAAAAGAAAAAAAAAAGAAAAAGAAACAAAAAATCTGTATTTATAAATCCACTGTCTCCTTCCTCGGTCTGCTGCTTCTGTCTATGCAGTTGCTGCTGCCAGGGTGCAGCAGCAGCAGCAGCAGCAGCAGCAGTAGCAGAAGCAGCAGCAACACCACCAAAAGCAACAGCAGCAGCAGCACCAGAAGCAGCAGTAGCACCACCACCAGACCCAGCAGCAGCAGCGCCAGCAGCAGCAGCACCAGCACCAGCACCAGCATCAGCAGCAGCAACAGCAGCAACAGCAGCAGCAGCAGCAGCAGCAGCAGCAAGAAGGCTGACAGCAAGGACAGGAGCAGCAAAGAGTCTCCTTAGTTTGTCTTCTCTCGCGAGCCAGCAAATGCAGGGGAAGTTCAGCAGCACCTGCGGCTGCTGCTGCTGCTGCTGCAGCAGCCGTTGCTGCAGCTGCCGCTGCTGCTGCTGCTGCTGCTCGGTTAGCTGCAACCAAAAGCACAGACAAAAAGACAGCAAGCAGCGGGTGAGGGACTACAGGACATGCTGCTGCATGCCTCTGCTGCTGCTGCTGCTGCTGCTGCTGCTGCTGCTGTTGCTGCTGCTGCTGTTGGTGGTGCTGCTGCTGTTAATACTGGTGCAACTACTAATGGCGCTGCTGCAGCTGATTCTGCTGCTGTTGCTGCTGCTGTTACTTATGCTGCTGTTGCTGCTAGTGTTGCTGCTGCTGCTGCTGCTAAAGCTGCTGCTAATGATAATCCTATTAATGCTGCTGCTGCTCCTGCTGCTGCTGCTCGTGCTGCTTCTGCTGCTGCTGCTGCTGCTGCTGCTGCCTACGTCGAGGTGATATGCGAGGGTTGCTGTCGTGTCTATCGTCAGAACAACGACGGCGCTGCTGCAGGCAACTGCAGCAACTTGCTGCTGCTGCTGCTGCTGCTGCTGCTGTTGCTGCTGCTGAAGCGCATCTCCTGCTGCGAAGCAGCACACGGGATCTGCTGCTGAGAAGAGCGGCATCGGCCGCACATCAAGCAGGGCCCC